TTTGCGTCGCAGAGTGTTTGAAGAAGCTCTGCAGGTTCAGACTTCAGCCTTAGAAAACATCCCCGACCAGCTGAAGCTGCCAGTCTGTGTGACTGTTTTCTGGTTTAACAACTTAAAGCTTGGCCAAAAAGCTGAAACTGTCCACTGCCTCCACGCCCTCCTGCTGGGGTTTGTGTGTGATCGTGATGGTCCAGGTAAGTCTCTGAGCTCACTGAGCAACATGACTGATATTTTACTAGCAAATACATGGAAATATGTGTAAATCAGTATTTTCACTCATTACTTTATTAGTAACACTTGTGATACGCCTGCTATTGTTTTCACTCCTAATTAGTGTTGTTGTTTATTTTGTTCTCTTTGTGTCTGTCATTGAAGTGGACTAATTATTAGGAACATCTAAATGTGATTCAGCCCAAAAAGCATCAAAAATAATATAAAAGTGTGAAATAAGGTGAGGTGCATGTTTCAGTTTAAGTGGTCCCAATATGACCTCGATGATATAAGAGAGATAAGACTTTATTGATCCCGTGGTGGGGAAATTTGTGCATTACCTCAGCTCAGGTACGGATAGCAGAAGAAAAATTGAAAAAAATACAAATAAAATATAAACAAATACAAAATAAGTAAGATAATACGCTATATGCAATGGTTGCATACACAGTATGTGATTATGGATAGAGGGTTGTGGAAATATGCAAGTAATTATTCTACCACTACTATTACTATGTAAGTAATAATATCATTGAATGAGGAGGAAAATACATTATATTTATACATTATATTTCATAGATTTTGCTAATAAAGTAGACATCTACATGACATCATAACCTGAGCAGAGTTAGATTAGGCTTAGTTTGTCTCTCAGACTGGAGAGATGGTTTTAGAGACAGCTGAATGAAGGTCACAGGTCTGCAAGCATCACACTGTTTTCAAGCCAATATTTCCCACTGCTGATTGAAAGAAAAAAAAAGGAAATCAGGGTTCATTATTCTGCTGTAACTCTGTGAAACATAGTTTATTAGCTGTATTTCTTATAAATTGGCATTTTGTTACAGTTTCACAAAGACAGTTAAGTCTGAACATTTAAATTTTACAGTTATCTACATAATTACATTCTTTATGGTTAAGGAAGTGGGTCCACATAGACTATTTATACAGAGGATATTTCCCTGCATGTTACAGCAGGTTATAGTCTCTTTGAAAGCAGTCAGCAGATGGACTGTAGTCAGAGTTCCTGTATTCAGAGTTCCCGATGCTTCCACACAAACTGCTGCTGGTCTCTGGTTCTGTGTCACTGAAACTTTGTCTTATTTTGTCTGTAGAGGACAAGTTTGAGAGGAAGATGAAAGCTTTAAAGGATGAAGGTGTGAGTAACTGGCAGCCCCGTGTGGCTCATGCTTTCAGCCAATGGCTGTGCTGCATGAGGCAGAGCCTCCACCTGAACCAGCTGCTGTGTTCCCCTCTACCAGAACCTCAGTGTGCCCGGTAAACACCAGACCAATGATGCGCTCCACAGATGT